AAACTTTATAAATGACCAGAAATTGCAGTCATAGTAAGTCCGAGGCCAAGCCATGATGGTAAACATTAGACTTGAATGCTGTACCCTACTGTCTTCCATGCTAAACAACCAACATTTAATGACGCTTCGTATCCCTTGCTTCCCAATAACGTGCAAATCCATATTCAAATAAAATGAAAAGAGAAAGACCGCTGGGAAATCAAAAAAGTTATCCCTAACAATAACACTCGCTATCCTGCTTAAGTAACCAGTATTTTTAAATATATACATGTTTGCACAGAGAGTACATGTATATCGAAACCGCGGCTCATGGCAACTAACATCTGTCATTTATTTCAACCAGGATACACTAAAGATGGCAGTCAGTGTGTGTCAGAACAGGCTTGATGGCAACGATAAACTGCCAAACATGCCAAATGGCGCCCAACACCCGCTAGGGTTAGCTATAATGTGACGCCTTTGAAAAAAGTGTGGAAGGGGAAGAAAGAAACTGCACTAGTTAATACGCTTCAACTTTTGAAGAGACGAAGTGTTACACGCTTGTAATATAATAAACTTAATAATGTGGTCGGGTCACTTGATCACCTTAATCTACCTGTCAACAATCATTTCTTTTTCAGTATCAGATAACAGCCTTCCTCTTCCATCCTAGCCAGTCCTTATTGTCAAATCAACTTAAAATTTATTTATATCCTGTCGATGTAAAAAAAAATCACTGAATAAATGTGTGTCGATCTTTAACCAAGGACTACCTGTTGTTTTTGAGCTTTTCAATGAAGCCATTTTTTTTACATATGTCTGTCTCCCATCCTCTGGTCGTTACCAGGCTTATCTAAGGAGACTCCCGTTGTAGTAAGAGAGAAACATTTTGTATCTCAGCTATCACCAATGGATTTTTCGAGTGAAACACTAGATGGAATTCATCAAATTTCCCTCTGTATGAGAAGTTGGTTTATGCCGCCAACAAAATCAGTCTCTTAACAGTAATGTTGCAGAAATGAATATTGCCTATGAAGAAGGTGACCGAGTCTGCACGCTTCCCTTGTGGTGTGTACATTGCTCATTCTGCTGTGGAGGTTGTGTGATAAAGAATGACATCAGTGGGGTAATTACAGTTTTACTAAATCTCTCAGTAACACCTGTCTTGTCGTATCAGCGAGGTGAATTTTTCCTTAGGTCTCCAGAGTTGTGTCGTCTAAGAATGTTTCCAGAACGGTAGTCATATCAAATATATGAGTGTTTAAAAAACTAGGCCTAAGTTCACTAACATTGTTTACGCTGGTAAACAAACTGTCAATATAAAGTGCTGGTTCCTTATGACTGCATACAACCTCACTAAGTACATGTATAAAGTGCTTGATCTTAGGCAAGTAAAATGCTTGGCTACTGAATCGTGGTCTTGTATTGAGCACAAAAACCACATGCAGAGTTAGGACAGTCGCTACCTGGAGGTTATTCCGAGGATCAACGCCCCCGTGGCCCGGTCCATGACCAGGTCTCCCGGTGGATCAGGGCTGTTACTGCTGGCCGCACGCAGTCCAACGTACGACTCACAGCCCGGCTGATCCGGCACTGACTTTAGGTATCTGTCCAGCTCTCTCTTGAAGGCAGCCAGGGGTTTATTGGTAATTCCCATTATGCTTGGTGAGAGGCTATTGAACAGTCTTGGACCCAGGACACTTTTGGTGTTTTCTCTTAGTGTACCAATGGCACCCCTACTTTTAATTGGGGATATTTTGCATTGCCTGCCCAGTCTTTTACTTTCGTAGGGAGTGATTTCTGTGTGTAGATTCGGGACCATTCCTTCCAGGATTTTCCAAGTGTAGATTATGATATATCTCTCTCTCCTGCGTTCGAACGAGTACAAGTCAAGTGCTTCCAAGCGTTCCCAGTAATTAAGGTGCTTGACAGAACTTATACGTGCAGTAAAGGTTCTCTGTACACTCTCTAGAACTGCAATTTCACCTGCTTTGAAGGGAGATGTTAATGTACTGCAGTATTCCAGCCTAGAGAGAACAAGTGATTTGAAAAGGATCATCATTGGCTAGGCATCTCTCGTTTTGAACATTCTCATTATCCATCCTATCATTTTCTTTGCACTTGTGATCGTGGCACTGTTGTGATCCTTGAAAGTGAGATCCTCAGACATTACTACTCCTAGGTCCCTTACATTATTTTTCCGCTCTATTGTATGGCCAGAGTTTGTAGTATACTCTGTTCTAGTTATTATTCCCTCCAGTTTTCCATAATGGAGTAGTTGGAATTTGTCCTCATTGAACATCATATTGTTTTCCGTTGCCCACTGGAAAACTTTGTTTATATCTTCTTGGAGGCTCACCGTGTCCTCAATAGATGACAGCCTCATGCAGATCCTAGTATCATCTGCAAAGGATGATAAGGTGTTGTGGGTTACATCTCTGTCTGTCTGATATGAGGATGAGGAACAGGATGGGGGCGAGTACTGTCCCTTGTGGAACAGAGCTCTTCACTAGGTAGCCTCCGATTTAACTATGTTGACCACTACTCTTTGTGTTCGATTGGTTCGATTGGCTGGGTGGACGACATGTAAATATGTGCAGATTTCATGTTCGATGGTTTATTCACAATTTACAACAAGGACTTTTAGGTAGCAGTCCAGTTTCCTTGTGAAAAATTTTACCTTCAGGTAGTATTTCCTTACATCTGCTGGCAAGGGGTTAAAGAGCCGTGAAATGCCAATGTTGGTATAATGTTCTCTTAATTGTGCCTGGGGCGCAGTTGTTTTTTCTGGGTATAATGTAAACTTCCTCCCGTATCTCTCACGCTGGTAAGATGCTATAGTAGTGTGTAGGTGGAGCTCCTGGCCCTCAAGTATATTCCAAATATCATATCATATATTGATGTTATACAGTACCGACAAGCTGATTCTCGAAATGTTTCGCCAACACAGTAGGCTTCTTCAGTCAAATACATATTTGCAAATGTTTTTTTTTTCCCGGGATTTTTCCTAGTCAAAAAAAGGTTGGGATCCTTTTTAAAAAATTTTTCGGCTAAAAGGGTTTTTGGGACTCTTCCCCAAAAGTGTTTAAAAAGCTCTGTACTTTTTTAAAATTAATTTTTCTTTGTTTTTTGGGAAAATTTCCCAGGTGTGATCCCTGTAAAACCTCTTCAACTCTCTAGGCCCCTTTTCTTTTTCATTGGGGGCCTTTTAAATTTTCAAATTTCATTTTTTCCTTTTGGATTTAAAAATCATTTTTCCTTGTGTTTTTTGTTTTCTTCTACCAGTTTGTAAAACCCCGGAAACCTTTTCCTCAGGGTGATGGTTTGTACTTTTCCCAAATAAGTGGACTCGGGGCCCTTTTACAACTCATTTTGGGTGATCTTTCCAACACTCAGTTTGACCGTGGCCTTAAAAATATTTCGTTTTTTTTATTTACATTTTATGGCCCTTTTTTCTTGCCCTTAACCTAAGGGGCTTGAGGTTTAACTAGTTGCTGAGCCCTGTTTTTTCCCAAAACAAATTGTGATGGGTCTTGATTTAAAACCCACTTTTGTTTTTTTACATTTGTTGATTCCCCCGTGTCTTCACACTTTTTTTTTCTTTTGGATTTTTCCCAATTTGTCTTCTCTTGTTCCTTTCATCGGGTTTTTCCCCCTTGCTTTTCCCAACCAGTGCTGATCGTGGGTTTTCACACTAGCTGTGCTCTGTCCCTTTTCACCTCGTCTATGCTCTGTGATCTTCACACTCTGTACCTTTACTCTTCACACTCGTGGTCTCCCTGTGATTTCACACTCTGGATCTCTGGATTTTCACATTTAGTCTGATGTTTTTCCCAAACTAGTGCTGATGCTCTGTGACTCTTCCATAGTGCTGATGCTCTGTAAACTTTTCACACTCGTGCTGAGCTCTGTGATCTTCACACTCAGTGCTGTGCCGGGACTCTTCACACTCATTGAGCCTGTGACTTTTCACACTCAGGCGATTCTGTGACCTTCACATCAGTGTGAGCCTGTGACTTTTCACATCAGTGCTAGCTCGGGACTCTTCAAAACCAGTGTGTGCTCGGACTCTTCACACCAGTGCTGAGCTCTGTGACCCCTTTCACACTCAGTGCTGAGCCGTGATCTTCACACTCAGTGCTGATGCTCTGTGACTTCACACTCATGCTGATGCTCTGGCTCTTCACACTCGTGCTGAGCCTGTGACTCTTCAACTCAGTGCTGATGCTCGGGTTCTTCACACTCAGTGCTGTGCTTTTGGACTCTTCACACTCAGTGCTGTGCTCTGGACTTTCACACTCATGCTGATCTCTGTACTCTTCACACTCGTGCGAGCTCTGTGACTTTTCACACTCATGCTGATGCTCTGTGTCTTTCACCAGGGGCTGAGCTCTGTGCTTCACACTCATGCTGATCCTGTGTCTTCACACCAGTGTATCCGTGCTTCACACCGTGCTGTCTCGTGTCTTCCACCATGCGTGCTTTTGGGCTTCACACTCGTGCTGATGCCTTGTCTTCACACCAGTGCTGTGCTCTTTCTTCACACTCTGCTGATGCCGTTCTTCACACCGGGCGATCCTGTGTCTTCACACTCAGTGCTGAGCTCTTTCTTCACACTCATGCTGACCTTTTTTCACACCTGGATTCTGTCTTCACATCAGTGCTGAGCCGTGTCTTCACACCAGTCTGATCCGTGTCTCACCTCTGGATGCTCTGTACTCTCACACTCAGGCTGATCTCTTGTCTTCACACTCAGTGCTATGCTCTGTTCTTCACACTCATGTGATGCTCGGGGTTCTTCACCATGCTGATGCTCTGTGTCTTCACCCCAGTGCTGATCTCGGGACCTTCACACCGTGCGAGCCGGACTCCAACTAGTGCTGACTCGTGTCTTCACCTCATGCGTCTCTGTGCTCTTCACACTCATCTGATGCTCTTTTCTCACACCATGCGATGCTCTTGACCTTCACACTCAGTGCTGACCTGGACCTCACACTCATGCATGTTTGCTCCACTCAGGCATGCCTGGACCTTCACACTCAGTGGATGTCTGTCTCTTCACACTCATGCTGACTCTGGTCTTCACCCCATCTGAGCTTTTTGGACTCTTCACACTCATGCTGATCTCTGTACTCTTCAACTCAGTGCTGATGCCGGGACCTTCACACTCAGTGCTGATGCTCTGTGACCCCTTCCATCATGCTGAGCTCTGTGATTTTCACACTCATTGATGCCTGTGACTCTCACACTCATGCTATGCCTGGACTCTTCACACTCTGCTGATGTTTGTACCTTACACTCAGTCGATGCCGTGTTTCACACCATCTGATGCCTGGTCTTCACACTCAGTTGAGCTCTGGTCTTCACACCCGGGGCTGATTCGGTTTCACACTCAGTTGATGCTCTGTGACTCTCACATCGTCGATGCCCTGTGACTCTTCACCTCGTGCTGATGCTCTGGGTCTTCACACTCAGTGCTGATCTCGGTCTTCACACTCTGCTGATCTCTGTTCTTCACACCAGTGCGATCTCTGTGACTCTTCCACCATGCTAGCCTGTGACTTTCACACTAAATGGGATTCTGTGACTCCCACTCAGTGCTGACCGTGTTTCACACTCTCTGATCCTTTTGCTCACACTCGGGCTGAGTTTGTCTTCACCTCATTGATCTCTTGCCCTTTTCACACCATGCTGATCTCGTACTCTTCACACCAGTGCGATCTTTTGGGACTTTTAAACCTCATGCTGATCTCGTGTTTTCCACCAGGGCGATGCCTGTGCTTCAACTCATGCTATGCCTGTTTTTCACACTGTGCTGATGCTCTTGCTTCACACTCACTGATGCTCTGTGTCTTAACCATGCTGAGCTCTGTGTCCAATCACAGACGTCATTCGTGAGTTTCAACACTAGCGGTGGAAAAATCTTCGTAAGTATTATTATTATTATTTTATTATTTTTTTATTATTTTATTATTTTTTTTATTATTATTATTATTTTTATTATTATTATTATTTTTTTGTTGTTTTTGGTTTTCTGTCTTTTGTTGTTGTTGAGTATTGTTGTTTTTTTTGTTGTTGTTTTTTGTTGTTGTGTATTGTTGTGTGTTGTTTTGGTTGTTGTTTTTGTTTTGGTTGTATAGTTTTTTTTGTTGTAAGGTTTTTGTTTTTGTTTTGTTGTTAGTTGTTGTTGTTTTTTGTGTTTTGTTGTTGTTTTGTTGTTGTGAGTTGTTGTTTTGTTTTGTTGTTGTTGTTTTTGTTGTTTTGTTTTTGGTTATCATTTAACCCTATAACTGCCCTGGGTTAAGGGGGTTGCTGTAGTAAAACATTTTTTTAATAAAAAGCTACCCATGGAACTCGGTCGTGTTGGTTTTGGGTTCGTTCATCACGTGTGTATGCATCGGGCGACAGTATTAGTGTGTTGGGGGTGCGTAAGTTTTTAAAGGATGGGGGAAATGTTTTTAATGTTTGGGGGGGGTTGGGAGGGGGGGGGGGGTGGCAGAGGGAGGAATTTGGGCGGGGTTGGAGGGGGTTGGAGGGAGTTTGGGGGGCCCAGGGCAGGGGGGGGGGGGGGGAAGCTAAAAAAAAACAGACGTGGGGCCCTCTATGGTTTTCTTAACATTTAAATCACCTCGAATTACTTGTTTTGTCAAAAAAAAAAAACAATAATCAGGGGAAGCGCAAAAACCCGGGGATTTGGCAAAAAACCCTTGTTGAAAGGGGAAGTAATCAGGTTCATCCAAAAGGGGGGAAGGGTAGCAAAATTTCCCTGGATAAAGAGCCCTTCACAAGTAACATTTTGAAAGGGGCATTTTTTGCAAAATCTTGGGCTGCCCAAAAAGCCGCGGAATTTGGGTAATTGGCCCACCATCCCGGTGCCTGTGTGTTATCTGCAGATTGTTTTTCTCTTCCTTCTCTGTGAGACGGTCATGCACGTTAACTTACACAAGCAGGGCTTTTGTGTTCTGAAACGGGTGCGTGAAAAATTTGTTTTCATGCGTGCGTGTAGTGTGCGGGGGACGGGAGGGGGTGTGGGGTATTAGGGGCTGCCTCACTCTCGCGGCCCCTCGCCCCACACCAACCTTCCCTCCCCACACCCCACCCACCCCATGGCCACAAACGGCGCCGCCCCCAAACATTTCCCCTCCGTTCCCCAAACAGGGGGCAGCCCACAACGGAAACAGCACCCGGGCAGGGTATAATTCCATGTACGGGTCTTTCCCCCCCATCGGGAATGAACGGGGAGGAGTGTTCACACAACCACTGACCACACTGCACGAGAACCTGACATTTACTCGCCAATGTTCAGGGGAAAGCCCCAAGACGCCGGTGCTGAGGACTCAAAAGGGTTTTTTTTTGTAATCGTGAGGGTTGCTCTTAGGACATTTTCCGACTCTTGGAACCAGAAGCTCGTGTTACCTGAAAACTTCAGTGAGCGCGAGAGACTCAAGAAAGAGGCGGATTTCTTTCAGCTCCAAGATATGATTGATTCTCTCTCACTGCCGAAGTCTCTGAGTCCAGTGGACCCCGCTTACTCAGTCCGAACCTCCGCCGGTACTATCACCGTGAGTTACCGCGGCACTTTTGCGTTTGGACGTGACGGACTCGCTGACGTTAAATTTAGAAAGCTGAGTCGTATCCTCGTGTGCGGACGAGTGACGCTTTGTCGTGAAGTCTTTGGTGAAACATTGAATGAATCGCGGGATCCCGACCGTGGAGCCACAGATCGGTACACTGCAAGGTTCTTCTTGAAGCACACCTTCCTGGAGCAAGCCTTCGATATGCTTGTCTTGGCCGGATACAAGTGCTGTGGTTCCTGCGGCAACAGCACTGCAGGCGGTATTATGGTGGACAAGAAGCCTGGTATGGACAATGAAGAAGACCGCTGGAACCACTACAACGAATTCGTGTGGGTGAGAGAATAATGGGCGGCGGGGGTCGGTGAGGCGGCCGTCGCCGTGTCTAGGCCGTTCTTAACAGTCAGCAAATCTTTATTCTGACGGCCCCCAGCATAACCAGAATCCGGAAAAAATCGTGGGAACGTCCGGACCACGACTTCGCTGACCACCCATAGCGTTGCCACCATATTTGTGTGTTGTCGAGTCACCTCGTGTTGACACCCTCGAGAGCTGTCTTGGTACACATCCCGCTGTCTCGAAGCCTCGAACACTATTCTGGTCCATATCCTTGTGTCTCGAAGCCTTGAACGCTGTCCTGTTCCATATTGCGCTATCTCGAAGAGTCATCTCGTGTTGACAACCTCAGTCACTGTCCTTGTCCACTTCCCGCTGTGTCTCGAACAGAGAAAAGTTCCAAAATCATCTTGTCTCTAGTGAAACTACAAAATTAGGCAAAAAATCATATGCTAAATAAACTCTCCCACGTCCCGAAGATTACACATTACTGTTGTACTGAATGCGTCAGTGTGATTCTCTGTCGTCAGCGTCAACTTCCGAATCACAGCCATGGGAAAAATCAAGGTTATGCGCTAAAACGGCCTCAGTGTTTCACGATTTGCTTGTAGTCATTGATAAAAATATGCGTTTAGTTTGGAATAATTGACGAGACATGTGATTAGGTTGTAATTATTTACGTGTGATTAGCTTGTAATCATTGACGTGTGTTCAGTTTGCAATCATTGACAAGAGTGTTCAGTATATAGAACTTATTTTATGAAATAAGTATCTTGATTTGTTCTTCAAAAACATTTACAGTGATGGTGCATATTAGTGGTAAAATCTTATTATTGTAAGGATATCCATGTTATTGAACTATTGGATTCTTGTAGGGATATACATACATAGTGCAAAAGAAAATTATAGCAAACATAAAGCACGTGAATAATGTTCTCTGTGTAAAAGTATTACAGTTTTTGCCACTTTGTTATTAAAAGTGTTGCATTATATATTTGCCAATTTGCATAATGTTGGGAAATGCAAAATTTCAATTGACGAGTCTTAAAAAAACATTTTTAGCCCTCCAATCACAGCCTTTGAGTAATCCTTATAGAAGAAAGTCATGTGTTTTCCAGTCATATATAACCGCTTCGTTTTGTCGAAGTGTTTCTAAGAAATATATCAATCAAAAAGTAGCTGTCCAGAGGCAAGTGTGTCTGTGTGTAATATTCACTTATACGTGTGTGTTTGTGTATGTGTGCATGTGTTCTTTTCCTTCACAAGTTCTACTCAGTGTTCCCGAATATCCGATCCAGAACTCGCCTTCGAGACTTCTGTTGAAGAAGTTCTCGTAAATATCCCGTCGGGAACTTTAGTGTGCGAGAAACCGACAAATGACATAATCACTTTGATGCTCTTCACATGAAGGGTATTTCTCATTATTAGAAAAAAATTACCCTATGACTCTATTATTGGTACTCAGACAAGCTACGACACTAGTGAAATCACATTAGTTACATATCCAAATCTTTTGTCCCATTGAATAATTTCTAAGATTAAGAGTGTGTCAGGCAAAAAAAAAAAAAAAAAAAAAAAAAAAAATACAGCACAATGTTTGAATAAATAGTGTTGCTGGAAGATGTACCTGTAGCTTCAATCCCTTCCTCAGCGACTTGAAGACGCTGAGGCAGTTTGCCAAGTCTTGCAGCGCGTCGCTACCGCTTCCTACAACTCATCAAGATTGGCGCTTGAAAATACGCCACGCATTGTGCAGATTACTTGTATTTTGTGATTCATATTTGCCTCAGTGTATGCGAGTCAAAATCAGTATGTGATTCAAAGAAATGTTAAGAAAGAAGTCATTTATCTGGCCCTAAGTGGTTGTTAGCTATCACTGGTAGAAAGAAAATTACACCCTGAAAACGTGATTGTTTCTGGCAATAAAAATGTAACTGATATTGACTAGAATATACCTGCTTAACTCCACAGACGGGCTTTCTATGACTCTATGTAGATAATCCCTCTTCTTTCACTGTCGCCCGTGCTGCATCGGTGGAGCAGAGGGTTTATCTGAATCCAGCGGACCACCAGGATTACTAGCTTGTAAGTTGTGCCTGTTTGGGTGGCAATATGCACCCTCTCGGGCAGCGATAGGCTCTCGTTCGGGCAGCGATAGGCACACGTTCGAGTAGCGATAGGCGCTGTAGATGAATATTAATCTCCTTGTGTTATCAAGCGCTTTTGGTACCTTATGTAAGAGAAGTCCCAGTGTGTGAGTGAACCTCTCCTCCCAGGCTAGCTCTCATTACCTGCCCAGCACCTGGTCACCTGCCCAGCACCTGGTCACCTGCCCAGCACCTGGTCACCTGCCCAGTATCTGGTCACCTGCCCAGCACCTGGTCACCTGCCCAGCACCTGGTCACCTGCCCATTACCTGGTCAGAGAGGTGAGACAACCTCGTTGCTCTCACACAGATGCAGCAGGACCATCACTGGTCCCTATTGGGGAAGAGCTAAACCCAGAACTGTCGAACACCGCCTGGAGAATTGGAACGAGAATTGGGCGGGATAGAGGGGGAGGGAAGGAAAATTAATCAGGTCTGCTCCGAGGAAAGCGAGGGTGGAACCAATTCTTTTGGATCATCCCCTCAGTAGTATCAAGGGACTGATTCCTATCCATCTTCCTGAAGCGAATTCTTAACTGACAAATTTTCATTTATGTTTTTTTTAATCAGCCATTCTGTCATGTCTCAGATAAAGAAACTTTGAGCATCAGGTCAAATTTTCTTCAAAAAATCGAGTCTTCGCCTTAACACTGGCAAAAAAGGTGCACACATAGATGCACAAAAGGATCTGAATAATTCCACCCAAAAGTTTCTGAAGGTGAAATAAAAATATTTATTGAAAAGCCACCTTCATATTTGCCTGAGACGGCGTCTGCGCCTGTGTGAGAACAACGGACGACAGTTGGAATGTCTTGTAACTTGTGGGTGCTGGAGGACGCAGGATGCCGTGGCCTGCAGCATGTGTGGACCACGAATGTTGGGGCCCACAGACTGCGTGGACCACGAGTGTTGGAACCTGCAGCATGCGTAGACCTAAAGTTTTGCGGCCTACAGCAGGCATGGGCCTTGAGAGTTGGGGCCGACAGCATGTGTGGGTCGTGAGTGCTAGGGCTTGCAGCATGCGTGGCCCGTGAGCGCTGAATCCTGCAGCATGCGTGGACCGCGAGTGGTGGAACCTGCAGTATACGTGGGACGTGAGTGTTGGGGCCCGCAGCATGCGTGGACCGTGAGTGTTGGGGCCCGCAGCATGTGTGGACCACTTTCCTTAAGGCAATTTTGCCTTCAAGATTAGATTAGATTAGTTCAGAAATTAACTTATATTTTTAATCAGAAATTGATTTTGATACAAATAATATTCACATTGTTGACACTTTTTTATACATTGAATTATTAAATTGTGAATGACAGGCGGTGCCAGACTCAATTTGTCTCTCAATAATCCCATATGCAATGGACCATTAAATTAATTTGTTGGGAAATGATCAGAATGTCAGTGTTTTTCACTCACAAACTGTGGTTTCTCTGATGAACAATATGTATGTTATATATATATATATAATATATATATATATATATATATATATATATATATATATATATATATTATATTATATATATATATATATTACATGGTATTCAAAAAAGATACGTAATCAGTGGTGAATGCATGCTGACTACTGACGTTTTCACATAAGTTTGCACGTCGACTCAAATTACTGGAGGTTTATCTTGATATTTGTTTCTTCCTGCCGTTTGCAGTCCGCTGAGTGGTCACCTGCAGTTGTTCTAGTATATGAAAGTGTTTGCAATACAGTGTCCAATAATAAAAAAGAAAACCTGTAATGTGAACACCATTCATGTACTTATTGGTCACTGAAACAGATAAACGATGTGCTACAAGAGTATATGCATTCTAACTGGGTTACGTTTTCTTTTGAACGATATATATATATATATATATATATATATATATATAATATATATATATATATATATATATATATATAATATATATATTATATATATATATATATATATATATATATATATATTTTTTTTATTTAATAATATAAATATAAAAACATTTATATTTAATATTATAATTTATATACAATATATATATATATATATATATATATATAATATATATTATATATAATATATTAATATATAAAATATATATATATATATGTCGTGCCGAATAGGTGAAATTTGCGATTTTGGCTTAAATAGCAACGCATCTTCTTCGGTAGGCAAGATTGTGGTATGCAATGTTACAAATCTTCGAACTAGGAAAAAATATTTCGATTTTGTTAATAGCTTTTTTGGATAAGGGAACCTATCTAAAATTTTGTTATGGCTACATTAATTTGTTAAAAATATCATTTCCGATCCTTAACAAAATATATTAAATTTTTTACATTAACTAAATTAAAAAAAAATATATTGGTTGCATAGGCTAACATAAATGTTTATAATAAGGTTTAATTTTAAATTATTTTGCTAAAAATTTTATTATTACATTAACATAAATTAAAAAAATATATACTTCAAACATAAATAAATTTTAGAAAGATTTAATTTTAAATATCTATTTAATACCAATATATATTCCAATATATATATATATATATATATATATATATAATATATATATAAATATATATATATATATATATATATATAAATATATATATATATATATATATTATAATATATATATATATATATATATATATATATATATATATTATATATATATATATATATATATAATATATATATAATATATATTATTATATTTTATCAGTATATATATATCGTTATAAATTTATCACGATATATATTAAATTGATGACATTAATGTATTAATTATACTAATATAACCATAACTTTATATCCTCTATATAGGATTCGGCTCTCTCTAAAAAGATTCAAAGTTTTACAGCTATTATTTAATACGCATTTTTATTGTAAGTAAAGAGAGGTAGAACTCTCAGCTCTGACAAGCCAACTCCTCCGTGTAATAAGTCTTGAATAAAATCTCTTGTATTAATACATGAATCACAGAAGCCTTTGGCATGCACGGTGAATTGAGTATTAGCATTATTAGTATACTTGTGGTTTTAGGAGTCTGAGTGAAAGTGTGACCAGATTTACATCAGAAAGCTTGTCGAAGTCAGACTTACGTTACTAATTAGGAGCTCTCTTTTGTTGTTTGTGACTGTAGATTACAGTATTTTGGCTAAGCTCCCCATTAAGTCGCTGCTTAGCTCTTTTTTCACCCAATGATTGACTTATTAGCTCACGAATAAATATTCAATGAACATTGCTGTGTACTTATAATATAACATGAACGTAATAATACAGACCTCACGTTCTGAGTCCAGACAGGTCAGATGGTCTGAGTCAAAGGTCAAGCTCTCTGGGTGGCGAGACATCACGCGAGTTTCAAGCAGAGAAATGCGCTTAGCCTCTCTTGGATATCAATACCTCTCCACAAGGGGAAGCTGCTGCCTGCTATTCTTCTTGTTCAAGAGACTTGCGTAAATCTTTGGATCAATGATTGGACAAGTGACCCCTTGACTCCTGCTCACTCCTGAAGCACCATTCCCTCTTATTACTCTCACTCCTCGAAGGATTTCCGCAGTGCATGCCCGATATATCTTACCCTTGAAGGTTATCTTATTTTAGAAAAATGTAATTTTATTAATACGTTTTCCTGGTGGACTACAATAATTATCCCAACTTCTCCACAGCGGTGCAAAATCTAATTATTTATCTGTATTATCAGTTACAGCAGCTAAGCCGACCACGTTCACGTAGGAATCTTTTTTTTTTTTTTTTTTTTTTTGTGTTCGCGCAATTCTTTGTCGAAATATACTAATTGAAGCACTTTAAATCCCGCCGTAGTAAATGGTGAAAACCGGGCAGCGGGGTAAGGACGGCATTTTTCGACAGGAAAGGAAAAAGGGGGAAGGGGGAAGAAGGGGGGAGTGGGGAGACAAGGGGGAACGGCAGAAACTTTTTTTTCGGAGACTTCTGGTCACATTTGGGTTTTGGGTGGAGACGTTTAAAATACCATATGATACTACTGTGCGGGGATACTACCGCTGCAGTAAAACCCCGACAGTGATGCTATAGCTGCGGATACCACCGTGCAGTGATACCCCGCACATGATGCATAGGCAGTGATACCACACTGCATGATACCACGCTGCAGTGTAAAACCACCGCTTCAGTATACCACCGCGCGGATGCTATAGATGCGTAAACCCCCCGCTGAGTAATCCCACCCTGCAGTGATACCCCTACAGTGAGCTATAATGCAGGATACCACCGTGCGGTGATCCCACTGCTGCGTGATCCCACCTTTGATGTTGCTATTGAGCAGAATGCTTTAAGCAGCGATACCATCCCGGGGATACCACTGCACAAATCCCCGCTGCGGGATACCACCGCTCATGTACCACCGCTACAGTGATGCTATAATCAGTGTGCTAAGATGCAGGAACCCCCGCTCAGGATCCTATAGCTCAGTGATACCACCGCTGCAAGATCCCACTGCTTAAATGGACCACCGCGCGTGATACAGTTGAATATCCCACCGCGCATGAAAAATGCTCAAATAACCACTGTTTCAGTATACACCGTTTGAAATGATGCTACAGTTGCAGTGTACCCCCGCTGCATGAACACTGCTGCAATGATCCCCACTGTTTCATGTACCACCGCGCAGTGAGCTCAGTTGTAGTGATACCACCGCTGCATATACCCACTCTTCAGTGATACCACGCTGCAGTATGCTACTGTCGCGTGATACCCCCAAACTGTAGTATACCACCGCTGCAGTGATATCACGCTGCATTGATGCAAAAACCCTTTGATACCACCGCTGAAGTGATACCAGATCAGCAGTGAACCAACACACGATGATATCATGCTGCAGTGATCGCACCCTTAGTGATACTGCTGCAGCGATTCCACCGCTGCAGTGACCTTCGCGAGTATACTACGCTGTAGTGAACCAACGCTGAAGTGATAACCACCGCTGAAGTGATACAGATCAGCAGTGAAACCACAGCTCGATATTCACTGCGGGCAGTGATCGGCACCCTGTAGTGATTAGCTGCAGCGATTCCACCACGCAGTGATCCTTCGCTGTATGATACTATCGCTGAGTGATACCAACGCTGAAGTGATCCAAACCGCTGAAGTGTACCAGTCAGCAGTAAAAACCACAGCTGCGATATATCATGCTGCCAGTGATCGAAACGCTGTAGTGATACTGCTGCAGCGATTCCACCGCTGCAGTGATCCTTCGCTGAGTGATACTATCGCTGTATGATACCCAACGCTAAAGGGAAATACCACCGCGGGCAGTGATAACCAGCTTACCCAGTGATATCACCGCTGAAGTGATACCACCGCTGGCAGTGATAGCACCGCTGTAGTGAATACTGCAGCGCGATCCAAACCGTGCAGTAATGCCTTCGCTGTGTGTTACCAACCACTGAGTGATACCAGTTAGCAGTGATATCACCACTGGAAGTAAATACCAGCCACAGAATGATACCACCGTGCAGTGATGTCACAGCTGCAGTGATCCACGCTGCAGTGATGCTACAGCTGCAGTGATACCACCGCTGCAGTGATGCTACGCTGCAGTGATACCACCGCTGTAGTGTTGCTACAGTGCAGTGATACCACCGCATGAGCACACAGTGTTTTCAAGTCTTTGTAATAAGAAAAGTCTAACAACTAAAAATTGCATCAAAATTAACTAAGACAAAGTTTACAGGTCTAGAAGTATGATTTCGGAGGCAATAAAGGGAAAAACGTGTGGCATATAGGTGCTTTCATTAATGTGAAGTTTGAACTTACCATTGAAATGAACACTAACGACAGAAAGTGTTTTCATGTTTAAATGTCTCGTGATGTTGAAATTATATTTATTAAGTGATGATTGTGAATGGTAAACATTCATGTGTTTAAGATGTGTATGGTAAACTTTCCCATGGAGATGTGTATGGAACAATAAAGTGATGATGTTTTTGGTAACATTCATGTGATGATGTGTAATTGGTAACATCAATGTGATGATGTTAGGGGAAAACTTTATGTGATGATGTGTATGGTAACATTCATGTGATGATGTGTATGGTAACATTCATGTGATGATGTGTATGGTAACATTCATGTGATGATGTGTATGGTAACATTCATGTGATGATGTGTATGGTAACATTCAGTTGATGTGTATGGTAACATCATGTGATGATGTGTAGGTACCATTCCAGGTGATGATGTGTATGGAAAACATTCATGTGTAGGGGGATGTGTATGGTAAACATTCATGTGATGATGTGGATGGAAACCCATCAGTATGATGTGTATGGTAACATTCAGGTGATATGGTATGAAACATCATGGAGATTGTATGGTAACATTCAGTGATG